CTTCACTATTAAACTGTATTAAAATATAAAATTTTCACTTAAAAGAACTACCACATTATTAAAATGACTTTAATAGAAGAATAGTTAATTGTCAACAGTTGTCACAGTTATTCGTTGAAGCAGTAACTCAATCTAGATTGAATTTGAAAACAAAAATTGCAAAAATTAGACTAGACTTATATAATACACATTATTTATCTGCTGCTTTTTTATTTACAAAAGGTGAGGACAAGTTTTAGATGATTTCCGATTATGCAATCTTTTTATACAGGATAAGAAGTAGATTAGCGAAACTTGACCTCGCCCAGTGATTAAATAATAAAAAGGAAACAAAACTATTTGACTAAAAAAAGACTATATTGACAAATTATGTGACAAACTCTAATGCTATATTGAATCTGTTTGTTTATTGGCCTGTGAATTATGTTTAATTCAAAAATATTCACTTGGACATCATCCATCCATGGTGAAGTAAGTGTTCATCTATAGTTACGACTGGCATCAATCTTTCACCATCATCGTTTCCTGGAAGGATAATTGCAGACAGCTCCACTTCATCCTCATCTAGCCACTCAACATCCTCTGAATGTGCATTTTCTCTTCTGGCAATAACTGCCATGAGTTCTCTTGGCCTTCTAGCAACGATTCTCAAAGGACGGATGCGTTTTATCTGAGTTGATTCTGGAACAGTTTGGGTTGGCACATTCTCCCGAGCCCGAGCTCTGTGTTGTCATGCATGTTTCTTCAACATTGTTTGTGAGGCAAAATATAAGCGGACATACTTTGCAAATTCGCTCAAGTAAGCTGGTCTGCAAAGATGGACAATAAAGATCATATGGTTGTACTTTGAAAACTCCTGTTGATCTTGGCAAGGCTATAAAACAAGGCTTCGCAACAGCATACAAGCGCTCCTAGAGAAAGGAATCGTGAACAACACATTCAGGAGATACGCATTTCATGCTATTTTTACATAAAACTAATTCAAATGTTTCACAAAATTTTTGAAAATTATTTTAAAAGCTGTTAAATTCTAACCAAAAAAAAAAATATATAAATTAGAAATAACATTTTTTAAAATTAATGTGTGACGTCACACATGGCCTGACACCCCCTTCCCCCCTGTCACAAATAGTCACACTTTCTTACACCCGCTCCCCCCTCTGGAGCGTGGCGTACTATATGGACGGCCCCTAACCAGAGTAGAGTACCATCAGAGCAGGGTGTCACCAGAGTTGATTACCATCAGAGCAGGGTATCATCAGAGTAGAGTACCATCAGAGCAGGGTATCATCAGAGTAGAGTATCATCAGAGCAGGGTGTCACCAGAGTAGATAAGCATCAGAGCAGGGTGTCACCAGAGTAGAGTACAACCAGAGCAGGGTATCACCAGAGTAGAGTACCACCAGAGCAAGGTGTCACCAGAGTATATATAGAGTACCAGAGCAAGGTGTCACCAGAGTATATATAGAGTACCATATGAGCAGGATGCCATCAGAGTAGAGTACCATCAGAGCAGGTTAGAGTACCGTCAGAGCAGGGTGTCGCCAGAACAGGCAAACTTGGAGGAGGTCATAAGGGAAGTCTAGATGGGATGACACTCTGAGATTCTTAAGGAGGATAAGCTGGCTCTCTAGGCATCGAATCACCTCTCCCCGTGCATCTGGTGAACTCAATGGAACATCACATGTGGCTGAAACAATGGCTGCACCAATGGCGTCGCAGGGGTTTCCATAATTTTCATTGTGTCAATGTCATGCCGCCTACAGGACTTAATATCCGGGTTTGAAGTCAGAGTTTCCCTTTCTGGCTTCTCTTCTAGATGAGTTGCCATCTAGGGTTGACAACCGGGATGCTGATGATGTTTTTGCTGGTCTTAGACTTTTTCTGGAGCTTAAGCTCAAGCTTGCGATATATTCATTTTAGACCGCTCGGCCTCCCAGCATCCTATGCAAATTACTGATATAAGTATATTATATAAGTGTCTCTTATATATATTTCTCTTCTCTTGTGGCAGCTTTTTTATTCACAACCGGCCCTAATTATTTTGCTAATGTTCTCTCATTTTTTCCTGGAATATGTTGTTGTTTTGTTTTTGTTTTTTTGTTGTTTTTTGTTGCAGCATTACCTTGAAGTGAGACGTGTGTTGCAGTTAATGAAATATGGAATACACTTAACATGTAAACTTATGAAAAATACAGCGCAAAAGAAAACCAATTCTTGGACTAAGAAAATACCTATATTTCCTACTTGATGATCTAAACAAATTGTTTGTTTTTTTAAAATAACAACTAATCACAATTTAAACTAAAATACACTTCACAATTTTAAAAAAATTAATTAATAAAAGGGAAATTTTCTGTTTGAATACAACTATCGCAACAGACGGTGCAGTGTCTGAATACTGTCATTGGTGCACTGTCATTGTGAAACCTCGTCCACTTTCAAAAAGTCCCTTAAAATCCATCTGTTTAGGTCCGCCTATGACCTGTGATGCACCCTCCTTGCCCTGCCTCATTTTCTGTCTCGGGTTGATCCTTTAGTATAGGCCAAAACGTGGCAAAGTGTACTCGTTTTATAGCCATTTTAATTGTTTATATAGTATAGTAGTTACTATCCTAGTGTCTCTGGTTTTTCATTTTTATTTTACTTAGTTTACATGTTTTTAATAATTGTAAAGCGTTTAGAGCTTTAAGGTAAGCGCTATATAAAAATGCCTACATAAATAAATAAATAAATACAACCATTGCAACAGACGATGCACTATCTGAATACAACCATCGCAACAGACGGTGCACTGTCTGAATACAACCATCGCAACAGATGGTGCACTGTCTGAATACAACCATTGCAACAGATGGTGCACTGTCTGAATACAACCATTGCAACAGATGGTGCACTGTCTGAATACAACCATTGCAACAGATGGTGCACTGTCTGAATACAACCATCGCAACAGATGGTGCACTGTCTGAATACAATCATTGCAACAGACGGTGCACTGTCTGAATACAACCATTGCAACAGACGGTGCACTGTCTGAATACAACCATCGCAACAGACGGTGCACTGTCTGAATACAACCATTGCAACAGACGGTGCACTGTCTGAATACAACCATCGCAACAGACGGTGCACTGTCTGAATACAACCATCGCAACAGATGGTGCACTGTCTGAATACAACCATCTCAACAGACGGTGCACTGTCTGAATACAACCATCGCAACAGATGGTGCACTGTCTGAATACAACCATCGCAACAGACGGTGCACTGTCTGAATACAACCATGCAACAGACGGTGCATTTTCAGTTTCACGTTTTATATGTAAGATTTTTTGTAAAATATTTAATGTCCATGTCATAAACTGTCACACTTTCTTAGACACCCCTCCCCCCAAATCTGGAGCTTGCCGTACTGTATGGACGGCCTCTTAAAAAACACCATATGTGTATATATAAGAAGGAAAAGACGCCATATATAAAATAGGTATATACAAGAATGATTGGATTAGAGCGAATTTAATAATTAAATAACAAAATGTGTAAGCCTTATCTAATTGAAGGAAACAAGAGTAAGGTCTGTGATATATATAAGCCTTGAAACTTAAGGTCATTTCTTCTCCTTCTATATCTTAAGGGCCCACGATCAATTTATTGATCATTTTGGCTCCTATGCATGTAGATGGGATTTGCAATGTTTCTGTTCCTGGTGTTGATGAGGAAATTTCACAGATTTCCAGTGCCACTTTGTGAGGGAATCATGCACTGGGGGTTTGAAGGCTTGAGGCAATAGACACAAATGTGTCTAGTGTTGTCGCCTCAACCGTTCCTTTTGAAAGATTGTTCCAGTCCCTGATTGTCTTGGGCAGGAATGAGCAGCTCCTATACTGGCTTCTTGCTGGTATGAGCCTGAATTGCCTGTCATGGCCTCGTCGCTGTCTATGGGGGAGAGGTACGAGTTTCTGTTTAATACTGGAACAGTGGACCAGCCCATTATTTATCTTGTACATCATGGAGAGCCTGGATTGTCGTCGTCGTTTCTCCAATGGTGACCAGCCTAGTGTTTCTAGCATGCTGCCAACACTAGAGGTATTCCTGTAGCGGTTTAGGACAAAGCGTGCTGCTCGTCGCTGGACCGCCTCCAACCTGTCAATGCTCTTCTGGGTAAATGGGTCCCAGACTGAAGATGCATAATCTAAAATCGGACGGATAAAGGCTTTATATGCTCTTTCTTTCACACAGGAGTTGCCAATCTTTAGATTTCGCCTTAAGAACCCTAGGGTCTTGTTTGCTTGGTTACATACATTGTTAATATGTTCATCCCATCGGACCTCTCTTTGAATGGTAACACCCAGGTACTTTACGGAGGAAACTTGCTCAAGAATATGGCCGTGCAGTTTGTATTGGTAGTGTAGAGGAGTACAACTTCTAGAGATTGATAGTGTCTGGCACTTGGCAGGGTGAAATTCCATGTCCCAGCTCATCTCCCACTCAGCTAACAGATTGAGATCCTGTTGTAGCTGGTCCTGGTCAGATCTGTTGGCGATCGTCCTATACACTGCTGTGTCATCTGCAAACAGTCTTGCCTGTGATGTCAGTTTCTCCGGTAGGCCAAGAGAACTCATGGTAGTATTTATTTGGGCAAATCGTTATACATAGGCCTAAGACTATATATTGCTTGAAATTATGAATAATCTGTTTAAATATTTTAAAAAAAATAATATTACGTTAGGTTTGGGATAACTGAAGTATGTGACATACTATGTCGTTCCCAGATCTTTTACAAATTATATCAAATAATTATCTCCAGCCAATTCTAATAATTTCTCCATCCCTCCCTCTCTCTATCCCTCTCTCTCACTCTCTCCCTCTTGCCCCTCTAACTCTCTCTCGCCCTCTCTCTTTCTAACCCAGCCTCTCTCTCATTATCTCTCTCTCTCTCTCTTTTCTGTCCTATCTTTCTCGTTGTCTTTATCTGTGTTTTTCTTCCTTCCCCCTTTACTGTCCCCATATTGTTCGTACGATTCAATCTACTTTTCTTTATAATTTCTGTCCAGGCCCTGTTTAAGACTAATTCAATTGTTTCTAGTTTCAGAACCGTAAATATTGTTGTCTCGCCTTACACAAAAAAATACAATTATTTTGATAGAGATACGAAATCACAAATTGTAAAAATAGTATGCATGAAAAAGTCTGATTATTTTTAGGTTCGGCAATGCGTAAGAAAACAGTCCATGATTCGTGGGCTCTTGAGTTTGGGGCAGAAATCTTCTCAGACATCACGCGATGTTCTCACGCGTGTCTCCTCGGAGCCCCAAATGTTTGTAGGCGCTACTGGAAAGAACCAACGAATTTAGCCACAACATCGTGAGCCTTGGACAAGTTCTTTGGGAATTCAAGCATGGTGAAGAATCCGTGGGGTACGCCCTCAAATATGACTTCTTCAACTCTGACCCCGGCGTCGCGGAGCTTCTTGGCGTACGCCACGCCCCAGTCTCTGAGTGGATCGAGTTGAGCGAGTACGATAAGCGTTGGCGGGGATGCCTCCAGGTCAACCCTGGCAGACGGGTTGACACGCGGGTTGCTGGCCGCGTCGGGGATGAACGGGAGGTAGACGTTGAACATGGCTTTCATCGCCCTGGTGTTGAACGCCGGGATGTCCACGAACTCGTCAAACGAAGGCAGGTCGCAGGCCACGTCGGTCACCGGGTAGGCCAGCACCTGGAAGGCGATTTCCCTGACGTCATTGGTCACGCTGCAGCTGATCTGCCCGCCGGCGCTGTCTCCAGCCACGCCCACTATACTTTGACTCCTCCCGCCCACGGCCTCCTTGTTGCCCAGCACCCACCTGGCCACGTCCACCGCATCGTTGAAGGGGGGACCGGTAGTCAACTTTACGTAAAAATCATGTTTTTTTTGTTTTTTTTCAATTTTCCAAAAAGTGTATATTTGGTTACAATAACCTCTTATAAACACAATCCACAAATAAAATTTGCTAAAAATAATTGTTATAAGTACATAATTTGTCCTAATATAACACTTATCTAGGCAACCATTTCAGGAAAATCGGCTTTCCGACGCGTTATGGTCATTTTAAAACCCTTTACAACCGCATTCCTTCAAGCCTAATGCCTATTGTTAGGCCTCTTTGGAAAGCTTAGACCACTGGCTACAACTGTGACCTACTTATCTCAAAATCATTCTACCTAACAAAGAGAAGCGAGCTGTGCAATACGTCACATTTGTTGTAAAAGTGTGTTTAGACGGCTTCTACGTCATCGTGTAGTAAAGCCTGTAATTTCATTGGTCAACTATAAGTAATGTTACCAAAAATAGCACAAATTGGGTTACCGTATACCGAAATGCAACACGGTTTTTTTCGTTTCGCAACCATTCTGTGTTGATAAAACTATCCACCGTTTGTCAGACTTACATTGGATTTATCAAAGGCTGCTCTTTTCGTGCTCACTATATTTGTTCAATAACAAGCCAAAGGTAAATATGGATGTAGTATGATTTACCATTTCATTATTAAAAATTGTTTTAGTAATAGTACTAGTATCAGTATCGTCAACGTCGTGCTTTCTCACCGTCAGTAGTGACAACCTACCCATACAAATTATTATAAATACAAGGACAAGGGCCATTTCAGTTCTGAAACTAACTAAATTATCAATTATATATATATATACTTGTTTCAAAGTTTTAATATTTAATAACTATCATTAACCAGATATATTTTATCATGTGCTTATTTACTTGTCAAGAATTGAGTGTAAACTAAAAAAAAAAAAAATAGAAAGGTGTGTGGGTGTTGTTGGGTTTGATTGATGTCTCTCATCATCAACAATTTAAAAGATAAGGAATTAACCACTTCATTTGTAATCCTTTCTTTACCTTGATGACTAAAATTAAATTGTTCTGATTTATTTGCAGTGAAATGGCACCAAGAAAACAAGCAGCGATTCTGCGAGCCAAAAGTACAGCTTGCTTCGAACAGGTACTACTCTTGGAAACATGGTGGCAGTAGAATCTAAGAGTGCCATGACACCTGATGCCAGGTGGGTGTAAGTGTAAGACTGGAAGTATTGTAAGGTTTATATCATAATGATATATAATTGTTTTTTTATATTGTCATCTCTACAGGCCCCACGAACAGCTGCTCAATATATTATCTATCTGCATTTATAAAAAAAAATGTAATGCTGTTACTATATTTATTGTTGATGGAGCAAAGTGTAATTATATATACATTTTTAACAGATAAAATGAATCTTCAGCAGTGGCCCTGTGAGAATGCAGTGGCCATCGAAAGTTACAGATGAAAAGACCTTCGGAGGAATATTCTGACATTTTCCGCATGCTTGCAGCTGCCTGGCCTGATGAGAACCCTAAACACCATGACTGCCCTACTGGAAAGACATGTTACTGTTGGCAGTCAGCTATTGCTCAGAAGAGGTTCCACAACACATAAGAGGAAAAGAGGCAGTTTTATCTCAGAGCAGATTTATTTAAATTTTTCGCATTTTTTTTCTTTGGGGGGTGGGCTAGAGAATCAGTTATATTTTTTCCACAGAAAGACTTTTTAAATATATTTTTGATGTATCATATTTTCAAGAAGCCAAGGTGATATAATAATATAACTTTATGCCACTTTAATTATTTGAAAAATAAATTATTTCAATAATAAAACTTCTTTTTGCATTTTCTCATTTGTGTCAATTTTACGAGGGTCAGGTTATTGGAAGCAGTGTATCTCAGAAACAACCTATCAGATTATAAAGAAATTTGCACCACATGTTCCTAACATGTTTATCTACAATGTGATAGAGGGTTTTTATTCTATTTTAAGAGACAAAAAAATTATTTTGAATTTTGATAGGACAGTTTACGTAAATGATGGATTATTTTTTGACATAATTTTAAAAAATTCACAAAAAAATTATTTTTTCAGTTATGCTAATTTCCTTCTATCACATTGTGCAATGTCCTATTATTAATATTTATGCCAAGTTTCATTGAATTCTTATTGGTGGTTATTGAGCTACGCTGTTTCCTGTAAGTATATAAAATTGCTCAATTTTACCCCTATTTTCTCATCAAAAGCATAAAAAAAAATAATTAATTAGTCCCAATTGGTTTTTTTAAGTGTTTTTATTGCTTTTGCAATGTGATTAGCAAAAAATATTCTGTCTTAGTCAAGTGTTTAAAATTTTAGCATTTTGACTACCTGTCCCCCCTTAAAGGCGCCAAGGGATCTTCGGGGCACGGCAGGAGGCGGTACTCAACATTCACGACGATGGCTTTGGCTTTGGTCGCCAGCGAACGCACGCAGTAGCTGTACATGCCTTTGTTTAGGACTACGAGCCCCCCGCCATGGTAGTAGATCAAGATGACAGGGACCTCGGGGCACTGGCTGGGCTTCAATACTGAAACTGGTATTCCCGTTGCTACGTTTTCGGAAGGCACGGTCAGGTCAGTGATGGTGCCGTCAAAGGGCCCGAGGTCGAGTCCTTCGTGAAACATCACGGAATACTGCCTCTTGGCGTCCTCGAGCGTCAGCTCGTGAAAGGATTTGAAGCCGCCATCAATCGCTAGCTGGGTGGCAGCGAGGGTCTCCTCGTCGATGACGTATTTGTCGGACCATGGGGACCAGGCGTCATGCGCAGATGACATGTCGATCTGTGGATAGGTTAGAAAACACGGGGTCATTGATAGTAAATAGGATTTATGATATAAATGTTGATAAATATAAATACAGCCAATAAATTTGACCACCCCGGAAGACAATTTATAAAGAATGGCAAAGTTGCAGTTTTTGCTAAATTCAAATATTTTTTTATTAGAACTTACTTGTAATATTAATCTTTGGAAAAAGAAAATGTTACAAAACTATCCCCCCCCCCCCTTTTTTTTTTCTC